AGTAGCACACATGGGCTGTCTGTAGGAGCAGCACCTTCCAACTCAGTGGTGCTTTTCTCCTTAGACTTGCTGTTCCTCGTTGGAACTGTTCAGGGAGGGGCCACCTGGAGGAAGCCTGCAGACCAGCTTTCCCAGATCAGTGCTGATAGCTGTAAATCCAAGATCACATGGTGTGCCCTTTCCTAACTCTGTTTTAGGATTGCAAGAATTAAACCAGGATTCTCTATACGAAGTATAGCCCTCCAAATTTTTTTTTAAAAAAAATGTTTTTAACGAACCAAAGAGAAAAATAACAAAGCAGTAACAGAAAGAAAAAGGTGTGTCTGTGTGTGTGTGTGTTGTAAATATATATTGTAAGACTTTCTAGGCAAACATGCCCAGGCTTATAAAGCTTTCCGTATAGGATGATATTTTGTTGTTGCTGTTGTTAGTTGCGAAGTCATGTCCGACCCATTGTGACCCCATGGACAACGTTCCTCCAGGCCTTCCTGTCCTCTACCATCTTCTGGAGTCCATTTAAGCTCACGCCTTCTGCTTCAGTGACTCCATCCAGCCACCTCATTCTCTGTCGTCCCCTTCTTCTATTGCCCTCAATCTTTCCCAGCATTAGGCTCTTCTCCAGTGAGTCCTTCCTTCTCATTAGGTGGCCAAAGTATTTGAGTTTCAACTTCAGGATCTGGCCTTCTCAAGAGCAGTCGGAGTTTATCTCTTCTAGGACATAATTTGTACATAATTTGAGTTTGTAAACAACTTATTCATAAATCGCAAACAACATTATGTCTTCAGTCTATGAATACAGGTAGTCCTCAATTTACAGCCATTCACTTAGCAACCATTTGAAATTACAGCAGCACTGGAAAAAAAACCCTCTTAATTAAGACTGGTCTTCATGTTTACCACCATTGCAGCATCACCCTGATCATGTGATCGAAGTTTGGGTGCTTGGCAACCGGTACATATTTATGAGGGTTGCAGCATCCCAGGATCCTGTGATCTCCATTTGCAACCTTCCCAACCGGTTTTTTACCAGCAAAGTTAATGAGGGAAGCTGGATTCGCTCAACAACCTTCTCTCTAAACCAGCAGGATTCGAAGGCCCCTGCTCTAAACCAAATTATTTTCCCAAATCCTAATAACTTTGGCCCATTGCAAAAACACGCCCTTCGCTAAGTGTCCTTCCGTTCTCTTCTCAAGCATGGCTTGTCCAGTACAATAACCACATCTTGGTCTTCTTGCACAAAGCAAGGATTTTTACCTTGCATAGTTTTCATATCTTAAAAATACTAATTATGTTTAATAATTTCAACAGTTATTTTAATTATTTTTCTATTTGTCTTTTATCCGTAGGCAGCCAGCCGTGAGTCCCCTTTAAAGAGGAGATGGGCTGCATAAAGGATGGATGGGTGGATGTTTCAATATCTTCATAATACTAATTATTTTTAATACTTTAAATCCTTACTTTCATTATTTTCCTATTTGCCTTTTATCCGTAAGCAGCCCTGAGTCACCTTATAGAGGAGATGGGCTGCATAAAAGGATGGATGGAGGGATGGAGGGATGGATGGATGGATGGATGATCAGGCAAATTTGAGCTGTCAAAATGTGATAAAATTAGGGCAGTGAAACCTTCCTACAGGCCAGTTCAGTACAGATAGTCCTCGACTTATCACCACAGTTGTGGCTGAAACCTCCATTGTTAACTGAGGCAGTTGTGAAGTGAGCAGCCGCCCCTGCTTTTTTATGATCTGCTTTTGCCACGGTTGTTAAGTGAATCACCCCAGTTCTTAAAACAAATCTGACTTCCCCCGTTGACTTTGCTTCTCAGAAGCCAGCTGGGAAGATTGCCGAGATCAATCAGGTTGCCCCCAGAATGCTGCAACTATCATAAACTCATGCTGATTGCCCCAAATTTTGATCACATGGCCCTGGGGATGCTGCAACAGTTGTAAGCATCAGGACGGTCATTAGATGAATGGTTGTAAACTGAGGAGTGCCTGTATTGTCTCCTGGATACAAAAGGAGTGTTGCCTCTTCCATAAGAGTTTTGTATAGGTTTTTTTCTGCTTGAGCAGTATCTTCTTGTTCCTGGCCATTGCAGTGAGGGTTCCTTCATGCATTATGATACCCACTGAATTGAATGCCAATTCAGAAGTAGGACATCTCCCCTTGCTTTTCCATCCTTATGGCCACTTCTTCTTCTTCTTTGAACTATGGCCATTTGGCAGAGGGTACAGGATAATAAAAACAAAGATAAATGGGCTGAAAAGCTGTATCCCAGAGCTGTAACCATATTAAATACTACTGTGTAGTGCAACATTGAAGTGCAATATTAGGAGCAGCGCAATGGTGAATAGAATGTAAAAGATGTGGGTATATAATGTATGTTCTTATTTGTGGTTTTTTTTACCTGTGTGTAGTGTGCACTGTGGACAGCACTTAATTTCGTTGTAAGTTACACAATGACAATAAAGATATTCTATTCTACTCCCTCCTCCACCCTTTTAATCCTTTTCATATTTTAATGGCTGGAAAATTTATGTTATGTTTGGATTTTGCAGTGTTTATGTTATTGTTATTTCAGTTTGTATCTTCTTATTTTATCACGCTTTTCATAAGGTGTCTGAGATATGGGAGCCAATATTATTTAAATAAACAGATAAAATAAATGAATATTACTAATAAGCATCCTGTATTATAATCCTGTGTGTATAGATTGCAGGTTTGTTTCCTAATAATGGCTTAGTGATTAGATGTATTTTAAAACTTGAATTGCACAATGAGTGGTAGAGATCCACTCTTTTAAACAAGGAAGGCAGATTTCCCTACGTTAAATTCAAAGCCTATGATGCAAGCCAGTGTACTTGCATAGCCTGTTAGTAGTTACTCAGTGCCTGTTTTAGAACTTATTCCATCTTCAAATTTACTCAGTTGCTTTTTTAAAATATAATTTTATTAAGAATTTTAATTTAATCCTTTTATAAAGAATGGAATATGGGATAAAGAGACACCTGTTTAAGGATATGAAGAATGATTAAGAGCTTAATTTGTATTGGCTTTTACTAATTACAATAGTAAAAGCTAACACAAAGTAAATTTAGAGAAAGAAAATATAATGGAAAGAAAGAATAAAAAGTGCAGGAAAAAAGCAAATGAAGGAAGAAAAAGAAAATGAAGAATAAAGAAAAATATATATATATAAGGAAGTGATTTGCAACCTTGACCACAATTATAAACAAATTTAATAACGCTTCAGATCCTTAATCAGATATCTCTTCATCCCATATCCCACTTCTTATTTTAACCTTGATCAAGTAAACCAACAAATATAAAAAGGAAAATAAAGAGTGACAGAATTAGAAATTAAGTTAGTTTATACCTTAAACTAAATAAAAGTTAAGAAGTAATAGGGTGACGTATCTAAAAGGTTCCGAAATTCTTCGGAGAAAACATTTAGGTTGTTCTTTTGTAGTAGGTCCAGTAAGAGAACAAATAGTAAATACAAATTAAAAATTTTCAAGTCCAAAGTTTGTATATCTAGTATATCTTGTATATCTTTTCCAAATCATTCTCTTGGATTGTCATTTGTAGTTCCACATTCCCTACTTTATCTTCTCAGATAAAATTTGTTCCACATCTGTCACTCCTTTGTTAACATTTTTTATAGATAGTTTATCCGTAAAAGCAGACTTCGTTACTGACAGTGTTGATATTGTAATCACTAACCTTTGGTTACATTTTTCAAATATCTCCTTTAAAATCTCTGACAACATTTAGTGTCATTTTGCAAGTCCCAGTATTAACTGACATCATCTTTGTATTGTTTTTCTTCTGCTTAAAATCTTTAGTCCCCTCTAGTGTCCAGTTTCTAAAATCATCATTTATCTTTTGTTATGACTTGCAATAACCAGGATAGCATTTCCCACAAGAAGTTGTTTACTTTTTGTAGTCAATTCCAACATCTTACAGTAAAAGCCAATATTGTAATTTATCTGGGTACTTATCCATTCTTAGATCAAAAACTTTCTTAGCTCTTTGCTGTTTATTTCAAACTCTGTAAAACTCTTCAGCTTGTAATTAGGTTTTCTTTCCTTCGGAGTTGAAGATAAATTCAGCCGATGGAGACTTTTCAACGTTGTCCTTTTGAAGGTCTCTAATAGTTTTAAGATGGATAGCAGGCATTTTTCTGAAAGGGATTAAAAAATGAAGTTTGCGAACTTAAATGTTTTTTTTTTAAAGACTCCAACGTAATTGCAAGCAAAATGGCGGATCCCATCATCTGCCAGTGCTCAAAACCATGAAAAATCATTGTCCTGCAATGAAGCAGCCTTCGGAGTCCATGTCGTTGCTCTCTCGTCCTCTTCTTCTCTGCAAAGGTTCTAAGGAACTGATCTATCCACCGGTTCCTGGTCTTTGCCATGGTCATCAATGCCGCTTTTGCAGAGCTGTCTCCTGTTTGCCATATTTCCTCTGGAAGTTCCACTTAGTCACTAATTTCTGACGGGACTTAAAAACCAATAGCATCTAGTATAGCAGTTCCTTCTTTTTCTCTATAGGAAAACCCTGTGAGATTGGTTGAGTTGAGACATAGTGACTGACCCAAAGTCATCCACAGAGGCTGATTGTCTGAGAATAGATTTGAGCCTAATTCTCTCTGGTCCTAATCCAAACTACTGCTGCTGCTGCTGCTGCTACTACTAATCCAAACTACTACTTTGCATTAAGTTATACCACATTTTAAAATAGAAAGAGTAGGCCAAGAAGAAATTGGAGCACTTCCAGATCATGTGTAGGAGTAATTTTCAAAAACATCTCTGGCCAATGTACTTCATTTGGTTCCACACATTGTCTTTTGACATGTAAAAATAACTATAATTCAATGATTCTTGTACGTTTGAAAAGTCCCACAACACCGAATGTTTATAACCAGTTTTTGTATTACTTTCTGGTAGACAGTATAATGGTGATTACAGATTTTTCTTTCCTCTTTTCCCTCCTTTACAGCTCTATAACTTTGGAGAAACAGTTTCTATTGTATTCTGGACAGACATGTGGAAGCCTGAGAGTTTTTTTGACAAAATTATAAAAAACAGAAAAAATGGGATGCACACACTGTGCCTACTTGGTAAGAAACATTTGCACCTGGTCTCTCTCTCTCTCTCTCTCTCTCTCTCTCTCTCTCTCTCTCTCTCTCTCTCTCTCTCTCTCTCTNTTTATATTTTTCCTTTTATTTCTCACTGTCTTAATCTTTAATTCAATCAAATATGGAATTTGATTTATTTTCAATTCTTCATTATCCCACTGCATAGATTTTCCAAGGCTTTAAGAAGCCTCTTTTGTAAATCCAACAAGAAAACATCATCCAGGTCATTCTCTTGTTTATCATTTATGTTTAATTTTTAAAAGTTCAGTAAAGTTTGTATATCTAGTATATCTTGTATATCTTTTGCAAATCATTCTCTTGGATTGTCATTTGTAGTTCCACATTCCCTACTTTATCTTCTCAGATAAAATTTGTTCCACATCTGTCACTCCTTTGTTAACATTTTTTATAGATAGTTTATCCGTAAAAGCAGACTTCGTTACTGACAGTGTTGATATTGTAATCACTAGCCTTTGGTTACATTTTTCAAATATCTCCTTTAAAATCTCTGACAACATTTAGTGTCATTTTGCAAGTCCCAGTATTAACTGACATCATCTTTGTATTGTTTTTCTTCTGCTTAAAATCTTTAGTCCCCTCTAGTGTCCAGTTTCTAAAATCATCATTTATCTTTTGTTATGACTTGCAATAACCAGGATAGCATTTCCCACAAGAAGTTGTTTACTTTTTGTAGTCAATTCCAACATCTTACAGTAAAAGCCAATATTGTAATTTATCTGGGTACTTATCCATTCTTAGATCTTTGCTGTTTATTTCAAACTCTGTAAAACTCTTCAGCTTGTAATTAGGTTTTCTTTCCTTCGGAGTTGAAGATAAATTCAGCCGATGGAGACTTTTCAACGTTGTCCTTTTGAAGGTCTCTAATAGTTTTAAGATGGATAGCAGGCATTTTCTGAAAGGGATTAAAAAATGAAGTTTGCGAACTTAATTTTTTTTTTTTAAAAGACTCCAACGTAATTGCAAGCAAAATGGCGGATCCCATCATCTGCCAGTGCTCAAAACCATGGAAAATCATTGTCCTGCAGTGAAGCAGCCTTCAGAGTCCATGTCGTTGCTCTCTCGTCTTCTTCTTCTCTGCAAAGGTTCTAAGGAACTGATCTACCCACCGGTTCCTGGTCTTTGCCATGGTCGTCAATGCCGCTTTTTCAGAGCTGTCTCCTGTTTGCCATATTTCCTCTGGAAGTTCCACTTAGTCACTAATTTTTGACGGGACTTAAAAACCAATAGCATCTAGTGTAGCAGTTCCTTCTTTTTCTCTATAGGAAAACCCTGTGAGATTGGTTGAGTTGAGACATAGTGTGTGACCCAAAGTCATCCACAGAGGCTGATTGTCTGAGAATAGATTGGAGCCTAATTCTCTGTGGTCCTAATCCAAACTACTGCTGCTGCTACTACTACTGCTAATCCAAACTACTACTTTGCGTTAAGTTATACCACATTTTAAAATAGAAAGAATAGGCCAAGAAGAAATTGGAGCACTTCCAGGTCATGTGTAGGAGTAATTTTCAAAAACATCTCTGGCCAATGTACTTCATTTGGTTCCACACATTGTCTTTTGACATGTAAAAATAACCATAATTCAATGATTCTCAGTACGCTTGGAAAGTCCCACAACACCGAATGTTTATAACCAGGTTTTTTTTGTATTACTTTCTGGTTGACAGTATAATGGTGATTACAGATTTTTCTTTCCTCTTTTCCCTCCTTTACAGCTCTATAACTTTGGAGAAACAGTTTCTATTGTATTCTGGACAGACACGTGGAAGCCTGAGAGTTTTTTTGACAAAATTATAAAAAACAGAAAAAATGGGATGCACACACTGTGCCTACTTGGTAAGAAACATTTGCACCTGGTCTCTCTCTCCCTCTCTCTCTCTCTCTCTCTCTCTCTCTCTCTCTCTCTCTCTCTCTGATATCATTGTGAGATTTTAATTCAAGCAATTGTTGGATGTCTTTTTAAATTGCTCCTACTGTACATCACTCAGAATTTTTGCATTACGCGTTTGTCATAAATATGCTGTCCGTTATCGTGCTTCATTAGTGCGAACTCCTGCATTTTTGTGAATAATTGAATAGTTCTTTCTGATGAGACGAGAAGCATCAAATTGTAGGTAAAAGAGAAATGGAAAAAGGGATGAGCATCTTTTTCCATGCATGGCTGCTGCCTGTGCTAATATATCGGTTAGTTGCTTATATACTTCATCTGTTCTTCAAATGAAAAGACTCCCAAAGTAAAAAAAAAAAAAACCCAATAAGAAATGAAAAGAAAAAAGCTCAGGAAGGAGAGGAAAAGGAAGCCCCCAGCCCAATTACCACCCCCCCAAAAGTGTCATTGTGATGGTGAAAGAGTCCTTCTCTGGTGGTCCAGCTCTATGTAGCCCAGCGGTGTCAAACTCAATTTCATTGAGGGCCGCATCAGCATTGTGGTTGCCCTCAGGGGGCTGGGTGGGTGTGGCCAGGGTGGGTGTGGCCTACTGGGTGGGCGTGGATGGAGTGGGTGTGGCCAGCTCTACATCGTTCGTGTCAAAGGTGCCTGTGGGGGCCTGGGCAGGAGTGGGATAGATCTGAGGGTCTCTGGTAAAAGGGGGTGGGACCAGGGCAAGTGCCAAGGCATGGTCCACTGGAGGAGCCTCACTGTTCCTCTCAGGCCATGCGGGGGGGGGCTTATGGAGCTAAGACTGAATACGTTTCAGCATAGATGGCTACCAAAAAATTGTACATTGGCTCCCGGCTGGCCTGGGCCAGGACCAAGGCAGAGGGGGGCGTTCCCTCACTGTTTCCAGGATGGCTTCGTGGGCCACATGAAACCACTTCACGGGCCGCATCCGGCCCCCGGGCCTTGTGTTTGACATGTCTGATGTAGCCAGTGAAGCGATCCTCACAGTTCTCGTAAGAGCAATCCCAACTTTCACTGGATCTTGAAGAAATATTAGTTAATCAAAACATAGTAATGATACAACTATTAAAGAAAGCAACTTTAGAAAATAGATCCTGTTGGACCCATTTTTAACCTTGTAACAGGTCTTGGCTGTGTTTACATGGCACAAAAATTTAATCGAACATTGTATACAATATTTATTAATTTATTTTATTTAGAAGCCATGTGACGCCAGAATAACTCCGAGTGACTTAAATTTTTAAAAGGATAGAAACTAATCAGGAAAAAAATTGCATACGTCCAGGAAGATCGTAGATCACAAAACACAAGCGGACTTCCTAAGATGTGGGAGAACAGCCAAGTTTTAAAAAGATATCCAGTACGTCTCCTGGGAGGGAGCCACTTGGATCTCTGGGCAGATATTATTCCAAATTTGACCACCTTTATCCCATAATAGAATTTAGTACAAAGGTGCCAAAAATATATATGTTATTGCCAGTCTAAATGTGTTCCCATCCTTTGCGAGCACTGTTTTAAAAGAAAAATCCAAATCCCTAGATTAGCATCACTGATTTACGTTTGAATATATCTAATACATTTGCAATAATTTTTTGTGGGGGGGGATGTACTATATTTGTGATACTAGAAGGAAAGTATTGTATTTGGTTGTTTTTTTTAAATCTAAGCAAGCCAGACACCATTTTATTCACTGAAAAATATAAGCCAAAAATAGCATTTGCCTAGCCTTCCCCTTATATTTGCCCCAGGGCAGAATTTATTTCAGGCTTTTTTTTCTTTATGGAAATGTTCATCTAAAGTTTAGTAGAATAGGGTGGGAAAAGGGTTATTGCTAGACTTACATAATCTAAATTAGCCTGTATAGTAATCAATTGCAGTGTTCTCTTAACATTTGGAAGAAGTAGAAGTCTTAAGTCTCCCCACCCACCAAATCCCTAATTTTAAGAAATGTATACTCCTTATCTAGCACCAAGATGCAATGAAACTGGAGTCTGAATAATAACTGAATATTGCAGAGCCAAGAGTTTTAAATTGCCCCAGAATTACACTATAAGAAGTCTTAAATTACAGTTAAGAGGGTCACACAAATGTGCTTCCATTATTAGGGAGCTGATCCTAGAATGTCTAAAAGAAATGTTTAAAATAAAGTTTTAGCAAGGCCATCCCTTCACTTGGAATTGCTAAACTACTTACTGATCCTGCTTCTGAGTTTTAACAGTAATATATATAAGATAAGTGTCATCTACTATAGAGGGAAAACAAAATTGCTCATTGTTTCTGATATTTCTGTAATTTTCTTAAAACTATCAATGACTTGGTCTGCAAAACAGGAAGCAGCCCAATGGATTTTGTAACTAGGCATGATTTTTTTTAAAAAAAAAAATTGTAGCAGACTTTTCAGACAAAATTGGATTTAACATATAAGCGAGAGACATTCTACAGAGCCAAACACATATGGAATTGTTATCAGATGGAAATTGGACTGATGTAATTAGCTCACTCGGTGTTCTTTAAATACTTGGGTTGATTTAACTGTAGCCTTTTCAGGAATCGTAGGTTGGTGGTGAGTTCTTGCTAGCAACTAACAGTCTTAACGACCTCAGTTGCTTTTCTTGATTACAAGCCAGGAGTTCCAGCATTATATCCCAAAACCTCTAAGTCCAAAGACAATCTCTCTGCATGTTTTGGAAAAAACTGAATTTTGCCAGCATATAATCAGTCAACATGATTGCTGCAGAAATTGGTCTGGAGGTAATTTATACATTGGGGAATTGACTGGAATTGTTCCTCAATTATTGAAATGCTGCAACAGCCATATAACTATTTCAACTGCGCAGATGTTGGCAATTTGGCATTTTCCGAGAGCTAGAGAGATTTAAAATTGCATTTCTTCCCTGTGATTAATGCTGAATGAAAGAAGTTGGGGTCTTTCTGTATACATCAGCCTGTCAAATGTTTTGGACAATGCTCGGCCTCTCTTCCTCCTTTCTTGAAACTTCCATTCTCAGTTTCCTTCCATTTTCTCAGCTACATGAATTCTTTCCTGGTGCCCTCAGATACATCAAATTTAGATTCCCACAAGCCTCAACACAAGCCTCTATATGAACTATAGTCCAGTCATCCAAAGGGCAAAAGATTAGGGAAGATTGAATCTGCCCATTGGATACAGTTTGTTTTTCATACACGCATACATACACACAGCCCACACACACGCACACCTTTTAAGTTAAAAAAAAATATTGAGGAAAATTACTCAAGCATTTTATTAATGATCTTTCCGCATTATGCTAAGCTACTCTAGGATATCCATTTGTAAATAAATCATGATTGGCTGGGTTCACATAAAGCGCTCAGCTGCAAGCCTGGTGTGCAAATTACAGTTGCTTGGCCCACACATCAAGATCCAAATGTATTATGGCTTAGCTCAGTGTATGAATACGGTCATTGATTAATTCACTTTATCATAGCAAAAGTTCCACGTCAGGAATGTTGATCTGTGAAGATGTGTGAACAGCTGGTTAAAAATTAAAATGCAGTTATGAAGTAATTGGCTGTGTATGGAAAATGAATTAGATCCAGAGTTTAAATGACTAGAATGAAATAAACACTGGATAAAAATGAAACTAAAATACAAAGAGAGGGCAATTTGATTCTTGCAGAAAAACAAACAAACAAACTTGGAATGTTCTTTAATTAATTATGTGTTTACCATCACATCACATAACTTTGGATGATTCACAGTAAAAATCCATAAAACAAGTCCAGTAATCTCACTCACAAGCAATTGGATAAAGCTACCATAAATAGCCCATTATAATCCAACACCACCCAATGCTGCTTTAAAGACTGTCTTCTTTAAATCTGGGAGGAGGAGACTGGAGTAGCCATCCAAAGAGGGAGGGGAGGCGGAATGAGGCCACTGAGCAAATCTGCTCTTATCCTACTTGGAATGGGGGAGCCAGAAGCATTCTCTCTCTGATTGGAGTGCACAGGTTAGGCAGGCTCAGGTGGAAGGAGACAATCCCTAAGATACCTAAGACTTGAGTGCAGAGGGTTGTAGATGTTAATACCTGTTGGGAAACTCCCAGCCAGGCAGGGGAGGAGGGGTCAAGCAGGGAACTAGCCTTGAGTTTGCACAGCCATAAAAGGCACAAGTTCCAAGTGGTTTGGGGAGAGTCATGGATTATACATAGAACACAATAAAAGTTGCTGACTTGAAACCCTCACAAGTGGATCTGGTTGCTTGCTCCTGATATTAGCCCTTTGAATTATATTCATAAATGATTGGAGGCCAATGCAGTATCTACAGTTCCAGTTTTTATCCTGCTAAAGTGGCTCTCACTGGCCAAGAAGCAGGCAGCTGATAGAAACAAAACAACACTTATATTTGCATCCATGGCTCCTCCTCATAGCTCATCCATACTGCTTATGCTTAATAGGGTATCAAATTCAATAACTAATGATCTGAAGGAAGTATGACACCCAATATGTTTTCCTACTGGAAGATAAGATGAAAAACTTCAAGTATGTTATTGATGGCTTCAGCCTTAAAACCTATAAACACCCATTTGGTTCCAGATGGTACAGCTTGAACTTATTAAAGCTGATTTCTACCTAACAGACTTCAATTAAGATTGGTACTTAGGTCTAATGCAAAAAGAAATCTTTTTAATTATGAAAAATGGACTATGTCTTACACGCCGAGTTATATACTAGCAGCAATTCATCCTCTAAGAGTGATCCTTATGAAGCCAATCCAAACACATAAGGATGTGTCAATGTCCATCTCAGTATTGGAAGAAGTCTGAGGGAAAAAGCCCAGCAAAAGCATCTCCAAAAGACAGAACCTGCTCATTACTATAGCATGCTTGGAGAGCCCCCTAAACAGATAACTGGGAAGGAGAAAAGAAGATTAGAACTCCTTCGAGGACATTGCCTGGGATCCTGAATACCAAGCCGTTTGTGAAAAATCACTGCTTGTTATGTATTAATATTGAGTAGAGATATTCTGGAATTATTTTTGCAAAAGAGTTTTTGGAGGGGAGATTAATTAATTAATTAATAGCCAGTTTTGTCTAGTAATTAAGGTGCTGGTCTAGAAACCAGGAGACTGTGAGTTCTAGTCCTGCCTTAGGCACAAAAGCTGGCTGGGTGACTTTGAGCCAGTCTCTCAGCCCAGCCCACCTCACTGTGATTTTGTGGTGGGGAAAATAGCAGGTGGAAAGAATATTAGTATGTTTGCCACCTTGGGTTCTTTATAAAAATAATAAATGTAAGGTGTAAATAAATTCCTTCCCACCTCACATACATACAGTACATTCTAGAGCAGCCCAAAGACAATGAATATGTTACGCAGCAACAAAATGCTAACCATGTATTGGACAATACAATAGAGCAATGAATATAATGGTGCTGGCTAGCTGGAATTAGTCCTATTTTTTAAAAAAATATTTTTGGGAACAGAGTTTGTAAGATCATACGTGCAGAAATGGGTCCGAGAGGACAGTCCATGGGCATATTTCTGTATCATGTGCGAGGGAAAAATTAAATCTTGAGTCTTAATAGTTTTTATAAAAATGAACTTCCAGTGTATGACACTTACGTTTTTCTGCAGACATTAAAGTAAAAGAGCAGTCAGTGGAGAATCTCATGAGGTAAGTTGTGTTGCTATGTGTTGATTATCAGCATGTGGCAGTGAGTAGTGTGTAGCACTTGAAAGTTGAATAACTATTATAGGACCCTGTAGGACTACACACATACATAATTAAAGCAGGAGATGGAAAGGAATTGTGATCATTCATACTCTGGGTTATGGGACAGATTAATAGCGAAGTTAAATCATAACTGAAGCCCACTGGAATCCTCTCAAGTGTATTTCTACAAGTATTAGATTTAAATATTTGTAGGGAATCTGGAATAAATATGCACCCAGACCTTACCTTTGTATGAACTTTTTTAAAGATCCTGAAATCGGTTGCAAATATGTTTTTCTCATCAGCTGAATCCAGTCGAAAGCTTTGAACAATGAGAAACAATGCTGCAATCAATTCTCAGCTTCTCTGAAATGCAGAGGCCTGGCTTCTGGTTGCATCCATTCCCAGGAGGCTTGCCACAGCTTTCAACAGTAGCCAATTTGGTCGTCTTCACAACAGTGTGATCACATTGTAGGATGAAACACCATCTACCTCAGGAAGCATCACCAGAAGTTGGTGTCCAAGAGACAGCACCGTTGGCTTTCATAACATCTAGTTGGATAGGGTCTTAAAGAATATTGAGTCCAACTCTTGCACTGTGCAAGATACACTAGATCACTTCTGACAGATGACTGTTCAGTCTCTTTTTGAAGACCTCCAGCGGAAAATTGCTCATCACAGTCAGGGAGTTCCTCCAGATAACTAGGCCAGACATTTCTCCTTGTAGTTTTAAGTACTTTTAAAGACTTGTACTAGCTCAGTGGTTCTCAACCTGTGGGTCGGGACCCCATTTGGGGTCGATCGACCATTTCATGGGGGTCACCAAGCAAGGCTGTCCGCCATTTTTTTTGTCTGCCATTTTTTCCCCCCTTTTCCGGCGGGTGCCTTACCTCCCTTGGGCTGGGCCAGCTGGTGGTCGGCCTGCTCCGTCTCTGCCGTTTGCCAGCTACGCCTCGGCCGGCGCAGGGGGCGGAACCACGCATGCGCGGCGCTCCCGGGCAGAGAAAGTCCTCGACTTACGACCGGTTGGGTAGTCCTCGACTTACAACCGGTTTAGTCCTCGACTTATGACCGGTTTAGTCCTCGACTTACGACCGGTTTAGTCCTCGACTTACGACCGGTTGGGGTCGCGGCATTAAAAAGGTTGAGAACCACTGTACTAGCTGGAATTGGAGGCATCACTTGCCCTTTGCTTCAGGCAATAAAATGTCATTGGCCAAACCTTTTTTAATCATCTTTCTTCTATTAAAGATAAACTGCTCCATAAGCAAATTTAATTCATGTAGTATTTAACATGTATTAGCTGTCTCTCACTTTAAAAAAGTGAACAGAGCAATATTAGCTCTGATCTAAGTCATTTTATCTGCGGTATAATATTTTCCCATTCCCAGTTGTTCAGTATTTCTAATCTGGGTGGATCAGTCTGCATTCCTTAATCTCTTTGCCAGCTCATCTTATGGAACAGTTGACAGTTTCTGGACACATCCTTACTTTGGTTTAGCTTCATATTCAGATGGACTGACAATCTTGGGGGAAGATTTATTTTGGAACTTCTTCATAACTCTGCTTGGCCAAGTCCAGGGTTGGCAAACTTTGCTGAAAACAACTCTTGAACACTGGATTTGGGGGACTATAATTATGCAACTCTAGAGTATATGGTAGAAAAATACAGGCTTTCCTTTCAACTTGGCATGAATAGCACAGTCAATGATGCAGGGGAAGTAACACCACTTCTGAGGGGGCTGAGGAATAGCCATGGCTGGGATTGTACTGGAAGAGTAAACATATGGCACCTCCTTTAGAAGGGGAGAATACATTCAACTGAATCACGCAGGCTGTAATTCCTTGGTTAAAAGCTTCAAAACAGCCACAGAACTGCCTAAGAATGATCTCTGTTCCCAATGACATAAACATTGGACGCAGCTTTTAATGCCCATCTACAGCTAGGCCAGTGAAGAGAAGAGTACATCAATATGTTTTCGTCTGCTGAATTTACAGCTTTTCAGTTGTTAGTGCGGTGAGCCAACCCAGCCTAAGACTTGTGTTTAACCAACATTTGTTGAACAAAAGGCAGGGTGCAAACCGACTAGTACAAATGTCAGTTTGTTGTGCTCGTGAATCCCAAATGACTCGGATGTATGCGCTCCTCGTTTTGACATTGTCAATTTTCTCTGTCAGGGGAAAGAAAATCTTTGAGCCGCCACGCTACATGAGTGTGAATCAAGCAGCTGAGCAACTTCTTGCCGTGGTCCAGAATCGCCGGCTACAGGGCCAAGAGCCAGGTATATCTGTCTGTCCTTTTTGGTAGAAAGGTACCCTGCTTGAAGTCTCTTCCAAATTCAAGAACTCTTATGCTAACATGGAGTTGGGCCATCCTGAACTTGGCAAGATACAGCTTGCACGGAAACCAAAGTTTTACACTGGTTCATCATCATGTAGTGTACATCACTGGTCTGGAAGGACATATTTGAAGGCCGCAGAATGTTGGCGGAAACACAATCCAGCCACAAGTTCAATGACCCAGTTTTTTTAAAAAAAAAAACATTCCATATGGATATATTTCAGAATGAATCACATTGATTTTAATCATTTCCCACACTCATCAGAAATTATGCATTTCCTTCATTTAGTGTTTGAGATTCTACTTGCCTCGATCAGCACAAAGAAAAATATGTATAGCATACCTTGACTTCTTGTATTCAACTAACCGTTTGACATTGCAGGAAGGAATATAACCCAAAGTAGTTCTCTGTTGGTAAAACATTTCTATGTTGTAGAAAAAGAAACCTCAGAAGTAAATTGATCTTGGTTTGATCCTCAAGCATTTTAATTGTAAAATTGTAGGTCAGAGATGGAGAAACCAAGGATGCGCTATGACTCCCATCATCCTGGTCATGATCCAGTCATGCTCAGTGGGCATGACAGGAATTGAAATTCAGCAATATCTGACTGGCTGAAGATTTCTCATCCTAGCTTTAAGGTTTAAAATAACACTGTAAAGTAGGGGGTGTCCAACCTTGGCCACTTTAAGACTTGTGGACTTCAACTCCCAGAATTCCCCAGCCAGCCATACTGGCTAGGGAATTCTAGGAGTTGAAGTCCACAAGTCTTAAAAGTGGCCAACGTTGGACACCCCTATAGTAAAGCTTCTAGTTCTTCAGTGTTTGATCCTAGTAATTTATAGCAAACAAGCCATGGATACTCGCTTTCCCTATAAAGGCAAGATCCTAGCTCAGATACACTATTTATCAAAAGCAAACCTGGAAAACACAGTTCATTACTATGAAGCAAAGGAACATAAGACAAGAATTAGGGTTAAGGAGAACTTTAACCACAATTTAATTCATCATCTTGATTCAAATAACATAAAGCAAAACATAATCCAATTTACTGTGTTATGCAAGTTATGGTTAGTGAAAACAACCTTCCCCTATCAAAGCTGCAAGGAGAACAAGAGGGGAGGGAGTAAAAATGACTCCCAGCAAACTCTCCTTCATATTCTCTGGTTACAGAAGCTTTTTTTCCAGATACGAAACCCTGTCCACAGATATTTCAGAAATGCTTTTCCTTATCTTTTCATTTTTTATTTTAGAAAACTCCTCAGTAACCAGGAATAGCATCTAGTCTTTCTGGTGGGCTATATTCACTTAAATAACTGCATGACTGAGAACCTACCTAATTATTAAACCTGAAGTTCAGATTCCTGCTAGATCACCATATTTCCTGAGCCTGATCTTTACACATTTTGTCACATCCTGTTACGAGGCAGTGTTACAGGTATTGCTCCGATTTTCAGAGAAGTGATTGTAGATTCCGAAACCTTCAGAAGGTTTCCTGGCGTTGGTATAAGATGACGTAACTTTGAAGGAAAGGAGGGAGAATCACTTCCTCTTTGGATTTGCTGCAGGAATCAAGATTTTTAAAGCAGATTTCCCTAAACCATTGTCCTTTGTTTTTGCAGAAGTAACTGAAAACACTGTCTGTGTAGGCTTAGCAAGAGTTGGTGCACTGGATCAGAAGATTGCATCAGGGACTCTACAGGATATGAGTACAGTGGCCCTCGGCGATCCTCTGCACTCTATGATCATAACTGGAATGTTGCATCCCTTGGAAGTAGACATGCTTAAATTATTTGCAGTAGATAAATCCATCTTTGAACACCACTGAATTAGAAACTCTTTGTGCCTTACTGGGAACAGACGCTGATAAATTCCTTGTTGGCAACAGACTACTCTACAAAGACGTCAGATAGCAAGCCCAATTGTGATTCCTTTATGGCTCAGGCTCACATCGTGCAATTTGTAAATGTTTTGTTACTTGACAGAAGTAAAATAAAAATTGAGAGCATTGTATTGATTCCACCTGTATAGCAGGTGATGGGGGAATACTCAGTATGGCAAAAGAGAAAATTCAAAAGATTAAATATAGCACTTGGCTAATTGTTTTCAATGTTAGACTTTTGACAACCAAAAAAAAAAATTATTTCTATCTTGTTGACAATGTCCCAAGGAAGTAAATCTGTGTATCATTTCCAACTGCGGATAACAACAACAGTAGCAGTAGATAAAGCTTGAATTGAACTGAAACTACTAGCTTTTGCTGAGCATTCTTATAAGGCCGTCAGATCAAAGAGACTTAAGGAAACTTACAATTAAAAATTCAGTAAAAAAAAACAAATACAGGAAATAAGCAATGCTTTGAGGAAGTCCCAAAACCCATTTTCAGCCCTTTTTCAGTGACAGGACAAGGCACCTCAACCCATGGCCTGATCGATCAAAAAGTTCAGTATTTTCTGTAGCAGAGTAGGAAGGGTATTCTAGCAAGTAGGAGTCATGACAGAGAAGACAGGAATCTGGGATCTCTCAAATGACACTGAAATGGGCAGAATGGGCAGAAGAAATTGGGGAAAGTTAATCCCACAAATAATCTAATCTTGGACCAGGAAGGGCTTTATGGATGATATTGTGCTTGCTCACAGAGCAAAGTCATCACACAAGTGAGATGGGCAGCACTATCAGTCTACTAAGTAAATAATTACTTGTACAGTTCCATGCTGGATCAACTGTACTTTCCAAGTGGTGTTCCAAGCGCAATCCTACATGGACCACATTATAGAAATCCAAATAAAAGGTAACTAAGCCATGAGTAATCATTGAGACTGGTCTCTCGGCCCAGGAAAGGCTTCAATTGGCACACACAATGAATCCATGTAAAAGGTCTCCGCTTCCTTTCTTCAAACAAGTGATAGGAAAGTGGGCCATGCACTGGCTGTATGGAGATGGAGATTTTCGGACTGAATCCATGCAAATAATTCCTTGCAGAGAAAAATAATGTCTCTGCAGAAGCTGTGATAGAATTGCCTTACTAGTTCCCTGCACAGCTTGGCCAAGGAGGTCAATTGTGTACAGCAGAGACAAGGCATCCAGGCCACAGGCCATTTCAAAAGTGGAGAGGGTCTTGGGGACCCCATCAGTATATGCAGCCAATGGTTCATAATTCTCATGCAGCTCTCCTTTATTCCTTTTTTCTTTAAGCTCTTTTTACAACATGTCCTTCCAAATGAAATAAGACTCAAAAAGATTTCTACTCTGCCTCTAGAGCAGTGGTTCTCAACCTTTTTAATGCCGCGACCCCAACCAGTCGTAAGTTGAGGACTAAACCGGTCGTAAGTCGAGGACTAAACCGGTTGTAAGTCAAGGACTACCCAACTGGTCGTAAGTCGAGGACTTTCCCTGCCCGGGAGCGCCGCGCATGCGTGGTTCCGCCCCCTGCGCCAGCCGAGGTGTAGCTGGCAAGCGGCAGAGATGGAGCAGGCTGACCACCAGCTGGCCCAGCCCAAGGGAGGTAAGGCACCCGCCGTAAAAGGGGGAAAAATGGCGGACAAAAAAAATGGCGGACAGCCTTGCTTGGCGACCTCCATGAAATGGTCGATCGACCCCAAATGGGGTCCCGACCCACAGGTTGAGAACCACTGCTCTAGAGCAAGCAGGAGGTATCCACTTTCAACTATATATGATGTAGGAAATGGACCTTGGCAGTTGGTTCAATGTACTGTTTATATTGACTCCTCCTCTGTGCTGTTTTCTGAAGATTTAGAGGTTCCTCCAAAAAAAGTTCAAGGGAGATTAAGGGATGCCATCTTTTCTGTGCCATTTCCATGAAGAGGTGCCTCAACTCAACACTGCCTTGAGTTTGTGCAGAAAGAGTGGGAAGTAAATCTACCCAACCAACCTCACATTATCTCTGTATTTTTTGATTCACATATTGTGTTTTACTAATACGTGGCTTAGCATGCTATGCGAAACCAGCTGCTGCTGTGCATCAACCACAATGTACAGCTTAAGGTCTATGACACCTCTATCTTTTTTGCCAAGTAGAAGAGAACTTAAGAATGCTCTAAAAATGTATTTCACTCCAAGAACTACATAAACAATGTATGACCTTTAAAAAAAAGTTTTATTGATAAGAAAAATTGATCCCAAATATCATGTCAAACATTTTTGCTGTTTCAATAAAGATTGTATTAAAGTAGAAAAAAATCCAATAAAATGTTCAATATTGCACTGACAGCAAATCAGACTGGCCGCTAGCTATATTATTTTCAAGTTTATTTCCAGTATATTATCTTCAGCTACCACTTTGAATTTATCGGTAACTAAATTCCTTAAATTGTACAAAACACCAGGGCTTTAGAAACTAAATAAAAGGAACTAAGAGTTTCGCCATTTTCTCATGCAGGAGAGTGTATGGCTAGCTAGGCCATAAATGCAATCTATAATCTTTAATTTAAATCGGGGCTTGGCAACAAGACACACCACCACTAAATAGTGGTTACTGATCTCAAAAGTTAAAAATAGGCAGCTGAAATCCTATTAAATCAGTGTTCTCAAGTCAGAATTTGGACTATTAGAAATTTATTTGACAGCTACAGGTTGCATAGTGATTCACGCTGCCTGAACAGATTGCAGACCCCTGCATAATTTTTTTATTATTTATCAAAATTTTTTGCTGCCCGTCTTGTGGTTCAAGGCGACTGAGTGGCAAGTTTTGGGAACTAATATCATAGCAACCAGGCCTCAGTAAATGAAATATGCAAATAATGCTTTTAATATTTCATTACAGTGAAACTTTCCCCTCAAGACAGTGGGAGAATAAAAACAAAAAGCTTAGTCACAGGTTCAAAGTAAATTTACTCATTGATGAGACACAACTCTTTTAAGATTATAAAAAAAAATTGCAAAAAGATCAGGTCAAAGTAGGAAGCAGTGGGAGTTATAATGGAGGCGGGAAGCAGGACTGAGAAAAATGCACATTGAAGCACTTTCTGTGGCAAAATAAAAGCAGAATCAAGATTTAAGAAATTTAGAACAAAACTGGATAATTTTCTAAACTGGACAAAGCACGGGTTTAATCTAAATCGGGTAGGCAACCTTGGCTCTTTTATGACTCGTGGACTTCAACTCCCAGAATTGCTGAGCCAGCATGGCTGGCTCAGGAATTCTGGGAGTTGAAGTCTACGAGTCATAAAAGAGCCAAGGTTGCCTACCCCTGATCTAAATCATACCAACCATATTTGTAAAGAAAAAAAAATACTGCAGTTCTCCCCTGGAAAACATAATTAATTTAAGTCCCCCCCCACCCCGCAAAACCAGCCATTGATATTTCCACTGCCTATCTCGATTTCTTCATCTGCCAACAATATTCATTTGATAAAAGTGCAGCTAGCATCTCTTCTAAAAAACTTTGGCCACAGTTAGACCAGTACTCTGTTTACTAGCCAGGACTCTGAATAAAATTGCAAGCGTTCATTTTTAGGAATGAAAAAGCACTGGAAAAAAAAACACCAGGTTATTCAAGTCGCTGGTTCCATCTGTAGAAAATAATGGCCTAAGCTCTCAGCTATGTTTGGCAGCCGACTTTCCCTCAAGAATTAAACAGATCCTAAGATTAAGCCTAATACTTTGAACTTAAAAAGTATAAAGAACAACTTTTTCCTTCATATTATCTATCTGGAGCTTAGCGGGCAATAAACCTGTTCTACAAATCTCCTAAATTAAATATCTTGTCTTGTGATTACAGACCAAAATGCACATTTGTTTAGGGCAGTGGTTCTCAACCTTTTTAATGCCGCGACCCCAACCGGTCGTAAGTCGAGGACTAAACCGGTCGTAAGTCGAGGACTAAACCGGTCAAAAGGCGAGGACTAAACCGGTCGTAAGTCGAGGACTACCCAACCGGTCGTAAGTCGAGGATTTCCCCTGCCCGGGAGCACCGCGCATGCGTGGTTCCGCCCCCTGCACCGGCCGAGGCGTAGCTGGCAAGCGGCAGAGATGGAGCAGGCCGACCACTAGCTGGCCCAGCCCAAGGGAGGTAAGGCACTCGCCGGAAAAGGGGAAAAAAATGGCGGACAAAAAAAAAGGCGGACAGCCTTGCTTGGCGACCCCCGTGAAATGGTCGATCGACCCCAAATGGGGTCCCGACCCACAGGTTGAGAACCACTGGTTTAGGGAGTGAGATCTCTGCTACACTATATGGTTCCAAGGCAACACATTCAATGTACTGTTATTTTGCCAAAAGTTAGATAAAAGCACATTTCAGTGCCACATATTTGGCAAAAATATAATTTAACATCGTTTGCTGTTTGACATTTGGCCAAGAGAAGTCAGCAGCAATAAAGAGGACTACATCCTGCAGAAACAAAACGAAGAGCATATTAACCCCACTAAAAAAGGTAAGCAGTTTCCAGTGTCTCTTGTTTAAGGCACACCCAAGATTCAGACCGTGCCAACAAAAGCCACTGGAACAGTCATGTCAAAGCGTAAGCAAAATTTGGACCGATGCACAAATCAGTGGAATAAGTTGATTTTCTTTTTTGAAGAAGTGATTACAAGTAAAGTATTTAACAACAAGTTAACGACCTATTTCAGCCAACCCTTTCTCTGAAAGAGATTCAGAGGCGATGGGGATTCACATTAGTCTACACAGAGCTAAATAATTATCTCCCTGGGAAAAAATAATATTTCTGCACCAAGTGAAATCCCCCGGGAAATCTGCTCCTATTGTCTTTTATGAATGAGGGAAATAAGAAAACAGTAATACACAAAACAGTTTTCATTGTGTCTTATGGAAAGGAAGGAGGCTCAAATACGCTACTGTGCAAAAATAATGAATCAAAACTTATATTAGGGTTTAAATTACAGGTTGCATAAAAATACATTTCTAACAGTAAGCAAAACAAAGCAGGGTTAGAAATTAAACCACCAGTAAAAGGTTATCTAACAACCAGGGGATTAAAAATAATAAAAAGTTATTCCCATAAAAACAGAAAATCCACACTACAGTTTTTTCCAATATAAAATTCAGGTCCATTTTATGTATTTCTGATGCCTAATACAATTTCATGCAAGCAATTAAAAAAAACAATTGTTTCTATTTTAAAAAAAACCATTTCTGACCATGAGTAAATGCTAGCCTTCATTTTTCTAGGCAAGCTCATCTTGCTTGCATCGCACAGTTTTTATTACAATTGTGTTAAAAAGTCTAGTGATTTCTGTTGATTTGACAAACAATGAATTGGGGCTTTCCATATTAACTTAAAATGGAGACTAGCTTCTGATCAACTTCAGTTCCAACATTAGAAACAGCAAAATGCATATGTGGCATTCTATCCAAATGAAACCTTTAAATATTACACTTGCACAGTGGGATATATAGACACAAGACATATTACCCAGAATGTTCCTGTGAAGTTTTGAAAGAACTTTTAATTATGATGGAGAATAGCAGCACAGACAATATTGGCAGAGCCAGTCACTAAATAATTAAGTGCTAGAAAATGCTGCTGTAAGATTTATAGGTCCTACAAGAAACTGATGAAAAAAACCCAACCCTCTTTGAATATGGGGTTTGGTTTAGGAAAACTCATTATGTTCAGTTAAAATCCGAATGTTAAAACCTAAGTCAATGCAGATAATGGTGAAATTGCGGGAAGAATATCCTGGATTCAGATTCGTAAGAGGATCAAATAATTTGTTAAGTAAACATACAGAATACAAAATAAAATCATGTATCCAACATAAAGGGTTCAGAGAGGAAGTGGTAATGCAGGAAGAGGCAAATCCATAAAAGTTACATTTAAAAAACCCTAATTATTTACTGCAAGACTTGGCCATGATGAAAACAATTAAAAGACATCAGATCAGAAGAAGACATTCTTGCAAGATATCCTTCTGCACGCTGGCTACATGTAGTAACGTCCAATTACTGTCGGGATGCTGCAGAATTAGCAGCCAAGATTTTAATTCACGGTAATGAAACATTCTGCAAGCGCGTTTTGCGTATCCATTTTAACTTTGTATTTGAAAACTGAAGAGTCGTCTCCCCGAGAAACTTAAAAATGTAACGTTAACAGGGACGCCATCATCTCTGAATTCAATTACACATTTACAGCACACCAATTGCAAGCAAAAACTTTTACTGGTACAAGTCACAGCCATAAAAATTAATAAAAATCCCCAATGTTTCCTATCTGTGCTGACAGATACTTTGATAAAAAAGGCACTCTGAAAACCCAATATGGTTTGGTTCATTAAGTTTGCAAAGTACAAACAGTCTCATAAACAGTTATGCTGTAGAATGTCAAACACTGTGACATTACACCCCAAAGTAATTTCTGTTTAATTTCTCCCTCTCTGCAATAATACCGGTTCTGTGGGAACAAGAAATCTCTGCCATAGCTGCAGCTTTACAGAAAGCACAGTCAATGATTGCAACCACACATCTGTATTGATAAGTCTGCTGTCGGTAGGAGCAAACTTGGCAAAGAATCCACGAAGTTTTGGGGCTCCTGTTAAGTCAATCCCAGATAATTCAAGATGAGGCCTCTTTTCGTTTTCTCTTCTGCTAATCACACGGCAGGAGACTTTGCTGGGAAACGGAGACCAGGAGTTTCAATTCCAAAGGAAGAACAAAGTCTTAAAATGACAGTACTAGAAAGCTTTGGTCCAAAGAGGAGATGAAGAGGTTCGCTACATAGTGGCAAAGTCAATTTGTACATACAGTTGCCTCACTCCAGCCTGCAAAACACAAGGAAGAAAAGGCACATATATGAATAGAATAGAGCTGGAAGAGACCCTGGAGGTCTTCTAGTCCAGCCCCCTGCTGTAGAGATAGGAGCCAGGTAAAGGTCGTGTGCAGCAAACTGCCTTTCCAATACCTGCGTGCCTCTTCTCTCTACATGATCTCATCCATTCACATCACCATGGCAATGTGGGAAACTACCCCAGGCTGGTACATGATATCACCTGGTTCACATGATATCATCTAGGTTACATCAACAGGATGTGGTAGAAACCTGCTCCCTGTCTGGGGCCTCTTAGCTGATATCTTCTTAATGATTGGCAAGGGGTTTCACCAATAGAAATGCTGTTACTATGCTGATGCCATCTTACTTTATGCTATTTGAATACCTGTATATAAGGCAATAAACACTGCGAAAGCAGTCAGCCATATTTGCACCCTGCAATGACTGAGCACTGATTACTACACCCTGCTTAACCAGGAGAACCTATACCATCTCAGACAAGTGACTGTCTAGCCTCTTCTTAAAAATCTCCAGTGATGGAGCGCCCACGATTTCTGGAGGCAAGCTGTTCCACTGGTTAATTGTCCTCACTGTCAGGAAGTTTCTCCTTAATTCCAGGTTGCTTCTCTCTTTGATCAGTTTCCAATGAGAACAAGTGAACCACGTTTCCAATGCAGGGATGTCCAAGCTTGGCAACATAATGGCTTGTGGACTTCAACTCCCAGCATGGCTGGCTGAGAAGTTTGAGAATTCCAATCCACAAGTCATAAAGTTGCCAAGGTTGGACACCCCTGCTATAAAGTCACTCAATGTGATCTGTCATGGAAGTGACTCGCAAACCATTGGAGGTCTGCTCTCTTTGTAGACCAATGGTTGAGATATAGGATCAAAGAGACCCAGGTTCAATTTGCCACAGAGATCACTGCATGACTGTGGGTCAGTTGCTCTCTCATCCCAACTCTTCAGATACTGTTTCAAGGATAAAACGAGGGAAGTTCCCTTGTCTGCCGCATCAGACAAGTTCCCTTGTCTGCTTTTCCAATAGAAAAGCTGACATAAATTCAATAAACATGACCACTACTATGCATGAACAGTTCCAATTAATAAGATGGCACCATAGCGAGCTCTTAATTTCATTATTCCTTGGTCTTACGATCGTAAAAACAAATGGATTTTTCTGGTTCAAAATATTTTCGTAAAAATGCTGGAAAAGCATTCTTGGCAACCTTTGCAACTTTATGACTTGTGGACTTGAATTTTGTGGTGTGCAACACTTAATGTAATGAAAACGAGAACTAGCCAATATGTAAGACTTTTATGATCTACAAAGAAAAATTTAAAAAATACACATAACAATGAGACAATAAACATCACCGGACTGATTCTATTTTAAAGTTCAGAACATCACAGATTTACACTGTGTGCACAATTATTAGGCAAGTATTTTGACCATATCTTCATTTTCATGCATATTTTCCACCTCCAAGCTGTATAAACTTGAATGCTTAGTGGATATAAGCATTGATGTGTATTTGTGTAATGAGGGAGGGTGTGGCCTAAGGAGATCAACACCCTATATCAAGGTGTGCATAATTATTAGGCAGCTTCTTTTCCTCAGGCAAAATGGGCCAAAAAAAGAGATTTAACTAACTTTGAAAAGTCAAACATTGTAAAAGTCTTTCAGAGAGATGCAGCACTCTTGAAATTGCTAAGATATTGGGGCATGATTACAGAACCATCAAATGTTTTGTTGCAAATAGTCAACAGGGTCGCAAGAAACGTGTCAAGAAAAAAAGATGCATCTTAACTGCTAAAGATTTGAGAAGAATCAAATGTGAAGCTACCAGGAACCCATTATCCTCCAGTACTGTCATATTCCAGAACTGCAACCTATCTGGAGTGCCCAGAAGTACAAGGTGTACTAAGACATGGCCATGGTGAGGAAGGCTGGAACCCAACCACCACTGAACAAGACGCATAAGTTGAAACAGCAAGACTGAGCCAAGAAATATCTAAAGACAGATTTTTCAAAGGTTTTTATGGACTGATGAGAGTGACTCTTGACGGTGGATAGCCCGTGGCTGGATCAGTAACAGGCACAGAGCTCCACTTCGACTCAGACGCCAGCAAGATGGGATACTGGTATGGGCTGGTATTATAAAAAGATAGCTAGATGGACCTTTTCGGGTTGAAGATGGACTCAAAATCAACTCCCAAATCTACTGCCAGTTTTTAGAAGACACTTTCTTCAAGCAGTGGTACAGGAAAAAGTCTGCATCTTTCAAGAAGACCGTGATTTTTATGCAGGACAATGCTCCATCGCCTGCATCTAAGTACTCCACTGTGTGGCTAGCTAATAAAGGCCTCAAAGATGAAAGAATAATGACATGGCCCCCTTCCTCACTTGACCTAAACCCTATTGAGAACTTGTGCGCCCTTCTTAAATGGGAGATTTACAGTGAAGGAAAACAGTACACCTCTCGAACAGTGTCTGGGAGGCTGTGGTTGCTGCTGCACAAAACGTTGATCGTCAACAGATCAAGGAACTGACAGACTCCATGAATGGAAGGTTTATGACTGTTATTGAAAAGGGTGGCTATATTGGTCACTGATTTTTTTTTAAAGTCAGAAATATTTATTTGTACATTTTGAGTTGTTCGTTTATTATTCTCACTTTAACAGATGCAAATAAACAAGTGAGATGGGCAAATTTTCATTTTTCATTTAGTTGCATGATAATTCTGCACACTAATAGTTGCCCAATAATTGTGCATACATATTCTCCTAAGAAAGCCAAAACCTCACTTTTATTTTCTTAAATATTCAGGTTTGAGGTATATTAACGTTTTGGATTGACCGAGAGCACTATAGTTGTTCAATAAGAAAATTAATCCTCCAAAATACAACTTGCCTAATAATTGTGCACACAATGCATTAAATTGCAGCTTTTAAAAATACTAGACAATGTGGGCATCTTAACATTTAAAAATTTTACAATTTTTAGCAAAACCAAAGAGGCAAATGTACTCCCTGTGAAGTGATCCACAACCAAAATTCAACAGAAAAGTTATGTTTGTAAAGCTAAACAGCATCTATCTAGAAATAAGTGTAAATAGAATTTAATATAGAATTTAAATTCAGAAATAAGGCTTCTTGCAAATGCTGAATTTTACATCCCAATTTTATTTTTAACAGGTTAAAAACTGTTATACCTTAATGAAATTTTCCTCAGTTGCTAAAAGCAGAAGTGTAACTTATAACTTAGGTATACAAAAGCAAATTTTACCTGAGTAAAAATGTTGTGAGTTTGGCTTAATATCCACTTTGCATCAGCATCTGGAGCTACAAACAGTTTCAAAGTCCCTATGTAAACATCAGTACAAAGAGTCCAGAAATGAGGATCGTGCAAATTGTAAACTCCTTGCAATTGTTGAACCTAAAATACAGAATTTAGTATTTTAGTCTTTCCTTCTTTTAAATGATTGTAATAGAGTGGTTTATAAGAACCAATTAATCCCAACCCTGAATAATTCTATGTACTCTGTTACATAATAAGCAAAATGAATTCCCTCAAAAAATGTCCAATTATTATTTTTTCCTTTAAGACAAATATAGTAAGTCAGTCTCAGTCTAATTTTGAAGACAGGGTTTCTTTTCCCAATTTCTGTTCCTGAAAAAAAATGTTTCCTTCATGCTGTTAAGAACACTGTGGTACTTTGTACTAAACCATTTTTTAAAAATCCCAGGTTATTAAAGCAATCATAAAAACCTGCTTTGCGCAAAATCCTAAACAAAAATTATGTTCATTCTCACATTAACCCCAAAATAAGCACACTGCATTAAGGTTTAAAAATTATATGAGTAACAGGGTTATAACTTAACCATCTTAATTGATAATAACTTTTTAAACATAATTTGCCTTCAGATGTTTTAGACCACCTGCCAAGGTCCAAAAGTCATCTGTACAAGTATCATGTTAGGGAAAACTGTATTGGCATACAAAATTGAAAGTTAGTCTGGTCATTAATGTTACTTGTTTGTTGATTCTTTCTACAATTATGAGAATGAGATTTCAATTTGTATAGAATGAAAATTGCCCAAATGTACAAATTTGTTTCAATCAGATAAGAATTGTTAATTTTAGGGTTTATTCATTTACTAGGAGAACTGAATATGTTTTCCTGGAGGACAGGTGTTCTCCAGATGTTAAACATCTGCTGCTGCTCTATTTGAGGTGTGTATTTCAAACCAATCAAAATACTATAACTTACCCGTTGATAGCACTGAGGCAAAGCAGTTTCTAGAGAAGGAGGCGTTCGCTGCATCAAAATTCCAATGGATTCTCTCAGGAGTGGAACAACACTAGAAATATTATTTAAAGTTATCTGATTGATAGATAGACAGACAGACGAATGCAACATACTGGAATTAAGTTCATTCTGATGAAGAGATATTCTTAGTTAACAACAGCTGGGAGTGCTGGGATTGCAGTCACTAAGCGATGTGGTCACAACATCTTGCTTTACTACTGCATCATTTATCAACATAAATTCCACTTTCAATTGTAGTTATATTTGAGGACCACCTGTTTTCAAAACAGTATGCTAAAACTGATTTGCCCAAATGTAACCATTGTTGATTAATTTAAATATCCTAAATAGCCATCTCTCTCCCTCTCTCCCTCTCCCTCTCCCTCCCTCCCTCCCCCCCTCTCTCTCAAAAAAGCAATTTATTAACTAGGGTAATTTCTCATGGGGGAAAAAAGAAGATTGAGACTACTATTCAACCACATACAATTCTGTTTTGACTCAGGTGCTTGACAAAAATGGCAACACAGATAGCAAAAAGAAATATGATGGCTCTGTAGGGTCAGTTACAATGGTAGCTAAAGCAACTCTCAAAATAGAGAATATATAGACATTATTAAAAAAGGATACTTGCTTCTGTTTCTGGTTTAGAAAAAGTTTTATTTATGATCCAAAATAATAAGGAAAGGGGTGCAAGTAGGGGACAACACAAGGAGAAAGATCACAGAACGAAATTAGTAGGTACATGTTCAGCCATAATTAAATGGCTTGTCTAAAACAGCCATCTCTGCATTTCTTGAAATAAGGGAACCCGGGATTTTAGCAGAGCTCAAGCAGGAAGCATTTGGAAACAATTTAAAGGCTCCATTCAACAACGGTAAAATAAGCATATTGAGGTATCAGAGGAGACCCACAATTCCCATGATAAATGATTTAGAATCATATACAGCTGCACTGCTCAGAATACTGAGAATTTTATGACCCTAATATCAGGAATATTGACTTCACCACAGTCATCTGTGGAGTGTAGGTGTACAACACAACAACACACATTATGTTAATAATGATGATGATGATGATGATGATGATGATGATGATGATGATGATGATGATGATAATAATAATAATAATAATAATAATAATAATAATAATAATAATAATAATAATAATAATAATAGTAGTAAAATTGGAAGGAACCTTGGAGGTCATCTACTCCAACCCCCTGCTCAGGCAGGAAACCCTATACCATTTCAGACAAATGGGTGTCCAATCTCTTCTTAAAAACTTCCAGTGTTGGAGCATTCACTGCTTCTGGAGGCAGGTTGTTCCACTGGTTAACTGTTCTAACTGTCAGGAAGTTTCTCCTTAGTTCTAGGTTGCTTCTCTCCTTGATTAGTTTCCACCTGTTGCTTCTTGTCCTGCCTTCAGGCGCTTTGGAAAATAGCTTGACTTCCTCTTCTTTGTGGCAGCCCCTGAGATATTGGAACACTGCTATCATGTCCCCCCTCGTCCTTCTCTTCGTTAAACTAGACATACCCAAATCCAGCAGCCGTTCCTTATATGCTTTAGCTTCCAGTCCCCTAATCATCTTTGTTGCTCTTCTCTGTACTCTTTCTAGAGTCTCAACATCTTTTTTACATCGCGGTGACCAGTGCTTTTTTTCTAAAAAAAAAAAAAAAGGTGCCGGAACTCACACACGTCATACAACCCGCCTTGCCTACCCTACAAGGTTCCATCCAAAAAAGATGCTGGAACTCCGTTCTGGGCGTTCTATGAGAAAAAAAGCCCTGGCGGTGACCAAAACTGGATGCAGTATTCCAAGTGTGGCCTTACCAAGGCATTGTAAAGTGGTATTAATACTTCACGTGATCTTGATTCTCTCCCTCTGTTAATGCAGCCTAGCACTGTGTTGGCCTTTTTGGCAGCTGCAGCACACTGCTGGCTCATATTTAGGTGATTGTCCAATCACCTAAATATGTTGTTATGTTAACTTCACTACTTATGTACCTGTGTATGATATCACATTGCAAATACAAAAAAATTGTGTTGTCACATCAGGTTGCACATTTTGTCATTTTGGTACTATTATGATTAGGATCAAATGACGTGACTTCACAATAGTCTTAGATTTGGAATATTATCAAGAATCTTCAGAGGTCTGGTTTGGAATTTTCTAATAACACCATAAAATGGATGAAAAGTCTATGTAGTTTCCTATCCAGATTAAGCACTTCATTACTAGCTTTAATCCCACTTTAGGACCATCAGAAATATAAAAGTAAAATAAGTCTTAAATAATATTCAGGGGAAAGAAAGTGAATTAGAGACAAAGCTCTTAGGCAGAAAAGTTATACCTTCAAATTTTCCAAATTCTCCATATATCTCGTAATACTTCTTTTTAAAAGGCTGGTATATGCACAGGATTAGAAAATTATGCTGTAAACATTATTCACATGATAATTTCCCACTACAAGCTTGTCCATAATGAAAATTAACCATTCAACATCAGCATTATTGCGTTATTATCTGTGTATACTTTCTCTGTGGGAAAAGTGATAAATGAATATTTAACACCAATAAAGGCCTCAGAATTCTATAAGGCTAAGAGATTATTGATTGCCAGCCAAACAAGTGGTTTTCCACAACTATCAGAACAGAGAAGGCCCTTAATTCAAGTAGCTTAATCAATTTACGGCTACCATGGCATGGACATGAAGGCAAGTATGTTCTCTTTGAAAAGAAAAGAAAATATAGTTTCCCTAGAGCCAGCTGGTTAATGGGAGGTTTAGTGGGATCCAAGAGAGGGTAGAATTACCCTCTGCAATAAACTATTTTATTCTTAGTTTTAATAACATTTCAGGGAGACTTTAAAAGTAGAGCCATACAAGAAGACTTAAAATGAAGTTCAGCTGAAACATGTGGAAAAAGTGAATCAGAGCAATTATTCCTTTAGAAACAAAGAACTGCAAAATCAATTCTAAACCTCTTTATCTAGATGATCTCATAAGCCTTTTGAGGTCATTTAGATTATGAGTGCTGCAAGTCTTGATATGTCCTAGAAGGACCTATCTAGATGTAAAGAATTTTACATTTTAGAAAGTGCATAGATAGCCCATCTGCAATGCTTAAGAAAGACTCCTTTGTTATTTCTGCATACAACATTTTTAACAACAACTGTAAGCAATCTGGTTGTAGTTTCCCACATTTGGCACTTGCAAATAATAGTCTGGTGGTTATACTGCTTATTAATATATGACTGCATTGGAAAGTTATATTAGATGCTATTTTGGCTTATATATTTAAACAACTGATAATATTGCGGATATTGTGGCATAACTGTTTATACTAATCATATGCTTGACCTTGGCTGATCTTGAAAAGCAAACAAAGGCTGGATCTAGTTTAGGACTGAATGAGAGACATCAGGAAATGTCAATAATTATAATTAGATTGGGATATCAAAAAAAACATCCCATAAGAAGATAATGGTAAACCACTTCTATATAAGAAAAGTATTTAGGCATGGCCATGAAGTCACAATCAACCCCCCCCCTTGGAGATTTTATTTTTCCTAAGTTTAAAATATTATTTTCACATATCAAAGGAATTATTTGTATTGCCACTCTATGTTTTTGGAGTTAATGGATTCCAAGCTGTGTGTTACCTGGATCTCCAACATAATAGTTACAGAAATCTCCCTTGTCCATCTGATTTTATTTTGCTCTGGATTCTTTTTATTTTAAACAAGAAGGAAACTCACAAAGCGAAGGGTGAACTTTAGTTTTTAGCATAATCTTTATTCCCAGAGTGTTCCCGGGCCTTTCACGGACATTCATAGAAGACAAAAATGATAAGGGTTACAATGGAGTGCTGACTGTGTGTGCCCACTACCCAGAAAAAGAAAGCATCCTGAAAGGGTAGATGAAGTAGAGTGAACCTACTAAAGTTGCCTATGATTTCAAAGGTGTTTTGTAATGCCCATTCAGAGCAGCCATTTTGTTCCCATGCAAGCTCCCACCTAAAAGAACATCTAGAACAGATATATCAAACACAAGGCCCGGGGGCCGGATGCGGCCTGCTAAGTGGTTTCATGTGGCTCGCGAAGCCATCCTGGAAACAGTGAGGGAACGGCCTCTGCTGCCTTGGCCCTGGCCCAGGCCAGTTGGGAGCCAACGTACAATTTTGTGGTGGCCATTTTGGCACTTGCCCCGGTGGACCATGCCTTGGCACTTGCCCCAGTCCCGCCCCCTTCTGCCCAGATCTGTCCCACTCCTGCCCAGGCCCCCCTAGGCACCCTTGACGCGAATGATGTAGAGCTGGCCACGCCCACCCAGTAGGCCACACCCACTTTGGCCATACACCCCACACCCCCAGGGAAACCGCAATGCTGATGCGGCCCTCAGTGAAATTGAGTTTGACACCCCTGATCTAGAAGATGCTCTCAAAATTCCAAATATGCCCACAGGTCCAAAATGGAGAATACTTTTGTTTAATAAAGATCTGAGAAATATTCCTGTCCTGTATAGCTATCCTTACCCTATGAGCTGCTTGAAGCACACGTGTGCAGAAAAGCAGTGTACAAATTAAAACAATATGACTCAACGGAGAGGTAAACTGCAGGAATCTTTGAATTATTTTACTACTGTGATTAAAATGCAAATGAAAAAAAAAATAGGGGCTTTCCTCAAGCCACAAGCAATTTGCACGATAAGGAGAGATGTTCCACCATATTCAGCCCAATAAAGCAAATAATTCAGCACATTAAATCTAATGTGAAATAACTGTAATAATATCTAAAGAGTAAAGTAAGTGGGTGGGAAGACAATCATGCCTAGAAAGGATCAAAGGAGGGCCATCCTTAATCCTTATACTTTGTGCCTACCCTTTTTTACTCTGGTCCTATTCAGTGGAACAAAGCACCATACTGAAAAGGATTAAAATCATCAGACAGATGAACAAATCAAAAAGCAGGAAGGAAAAATTGCCTGTGTGTGTGTGTGTGAGAGAGAGAGAGAGAGAGAAAGAGAGAGAGAGAGAGAGAGAGAGAGAGAGAGA